CTACCCCGAGTCTCGCAGGCGCTGAGCTTCCGAAAAAAGGACGTACTTTCCGGACGACCCCTACACCTGTACCGGATACATGCGTGCGGGTGAGATACAAAGTTTTACAACTATCATTTAGCTGGGAAGGCTAGACCGCCATCCAAATGATTTCCTCGGCCACTAATGTTTGACCAGCAGCGGGCCGCGAGGTAACACGGCCACGGCCCCGGCCCCGGCCCGACGCGTCCAAGAGCAGGAAGTGCTCGCCTCCGTCCAAGCCACCTCACTCTTCCTCCGCCCCCGCCAACCTGCTGACAGGCTGCAGCAATGTCTCTGTGCGACAGTGGGTGGATGTTGCTGGGGCGCTAGAGGCTCTTGCAGGCCACGCGAAGGAAGCGTTTCCTGGTGGAGGCGGAGCGGGTGGGGGAGGCAGGGGGAGGCACAGCACAGCGGGCCGCGGGCCGCGGGCCGCGGGCACAGTAAGCCGATATCTTTCCAAGCTCAAGCCACAACCATACTGGCGGTTAATAAGACAAGCTGAAGGGGACGGTCGCCCCGCTACGGCTCCGACTGTGGCTCCGCCGACACCACTGCACCCGCAGCAGTGCAGCGTCGGTGCAGCGCGACGACGCAGAGGTGAGCGGGGCAATTTCCGGTGGACGGCAGGAGTGCAGACGGTGCAGACTGGACGACTCCGGTCACCGTGTTACGGAGGGAGTAGCAGTGGGAAATGGGAGAGAGGGACGCCATACAGCGCCGCCCTGAGTAACGCGAATCTAAAAACGCCAAATCCACCCGACCAACTAGGCAAAAATGGGGGTGTAAAGAAATAAAGCTCTTAAGGGATTTTGTTAAGCCTACATCGACAACTTCTCTCGTAACTTCTGCAGTCGATTGAGAATGGCAACCCGATGAAGAAAGCTGACATTATATTCAGCGAGGTGTAGTTTTCATTATTTGCGGTAAATATTGCGAACGCGTTGGTGCATGGGATCGTGTTTGAATTGTGGTGTGGGGTGGGAGGCGACCGCGATCGGGTGTCACGTGAGCAGGCCGGCCGGGCCCAAGATTACCGCGAATAAGAGCGTGTTGCGGCCGGGCCGGGAGCCGCGGGCCGGGGGGACCGGGCCCCAGCTGGGCACCTGCAGGGGGGCACCGGCCACCGCGACAGGTGACTGCCGCCGGGCTACACACACACACACACACACACACACCCAGCCGCGCCACCACACATCGCTCCGCTCCACGGACACGGTTCAATAAAAAAATAAAGGCAACCGGCCTCTGGCAACCCGTTCAGCAGATATGCACTTTCCGGGCGTGGCGTTTTGTCCGCGACATCTGCGGCTTTTATTATTATTAACTTTGCACAGGTAAACTGCATATGTCTATTTTAGGCGATTTATTTATTATTAATTTAAACGTGCTTCTTCTTTTTTTGCAGGGCAAAGGGAGCGCACGGCGAGCGACCACCTGAATGACGTGCCGCGGGACGAAGGCGTCACGCAGTGGGGCCGGGCAGGGCCGGGCCCGGGCCCCGGGCCCGCGGGCGCAGCTCGGCAGCAGAACCTCTAATTGTCTACGAATGTCGACGTACGGCGTCCGGGCCTGGCGGCGGCGGGCGACTCAGATGGCGAAGAGAGAGAGAAAGGCCGGTCACAGGAGGAGGGGGGCGCGGTGCAGCGGCACAAAGGACGCCCGTGTCATTCCGTGTTGCAAATGGCTGCGCCGCCAATCGAGGGTAATTTGCAGTACACTCGGGACTGGATTGCCTACCGTGGGGACCGAAAAACTGGAATAGCACAAAAATAAAAGAGGGGGGGGGGGAGGGCGTCGTGGGCACAGCCCGCTGCACTGCTGCGCCGAGGCGAGCCGGTCCTCGTCACCTCCCAGGAGCAATGCCACGCGGGCTTGCAAAACACTCGCGCCCTTCGTCCCTGGCAGTTAGGCCCTCTCCACGCAGAGCACGTGTCGACCCGTACCGTTAGTCTGCCGCTCCACCCCACCCCGCCTCGCCCTTGGCCCCCCTGCGTGCGAGCGCGTGCCAGGGACAAGTAGTAGTGCTCTCCGGCCCTATACATAAATGGGGAGGGACCTTTTCTGTCTCAAGGAAGGACGCCATTCCGTGCACATCATTTGCTTATTGGGATAGATTTCTTACACTTTTGTGACAATATCCACTACCTCAGTCGCAATAAAATTGTAAAAGTTGTCCTAACCTGGCACAAAATAGCCCCCTCCCCCTTTCCCATTGAGTGTGCTCACGCCTGATCGTGCGGAGCGTGCGGACGTCGCGACCCGGCGCGTTATGAGGTGCGGGCCGAGCCACCGCGAGGGCAGCCCCGGCAGCCCCGGCAGCCCCCCGTCAGCCGCTACGGCTCCGCTACGGCTCCGCTATGGCTCAGCTCAGCCACCAACACGCCTCGCGGCCACGCCGTGTTCCGATATGGCCTCGAACTTGGCCGCCGCGGCCGCGCCGTCGCTCGACTCGAGAGCAGACCGCGGGCGCGGCTTGTTCTGCGGGCCCAGCCCAGCAGCTCGGTCCCGCGACCGACACCGACACCCTGCATGCCCCCGGGGTGGATGAAACCAAAGGGCCCCACCCCGCGCCGCAGGTCGGTGGTGGCGACTAGCACTTATTTAACTGTGTTAAACGAGAAAGGACAAATTTGTGTCCAGCCGAGACGCGTTCTTAGAGACATCGTAATCGAAGTGGAAATTTGTAACCATGCTGGATTCAAAAACAGTCATTTGTACCAGAGTTCGGTAAAGATGTAACTTTTTAGAGACAAAGTTGCACCCTGCTGAGATGTGCCTCAGGACGCATCTTATTCACAGTGAGACTGTACCGCTACCGCACGAACGCGAACGGTCGCTTTAGAACCTCGTCTCTGACCATTGCGCCGTACTGCCGTATTCCACGATCGAGTAGGCGATCCGTTCGCACCCGTGCATGCGGTAGCGGTACAGTCTCACTGCGGACCTGCGGAAGTGGGCGGGACCAAACAGCCACCTGATCAGGTAAGGAGAATGCAGCCGCCATGCGCTGAATGCGCTGGTGCCTCGGATGTGGCGGTAGAGAAGAGCTAGAGACACGATAGGGCGGCAGTGTCGATAGGGTTGTTTGGACCGACACCCGACGCGGCCCAGGAAGTGTTCCGTCAAGAGCGCCGTGCTTCCCAAATCGTGGCTGTCCTGGACAGACAGATTGCTTTTGGATCGTAAGCATAATGATTGTCAAAACGCCGGGCCGCTGCGCGCCGGCTGGTCGGTCATGACTCATGACCAGTAACCATCTCACATTATTGTTTTGATTCGCGTCCGGCCAACGAAAAGGGAGGGGGGGGGGGCTTGATGCGCTGATAACAGAATCGCACACAGAGATGTCGTCAAAAGAAACTCTTTTTATTCTGGACAGTCCGCGCCGGGGACGGGGGGCATGAGACCGCCGCGCACCGCGCCTGGCTCCCGGACAGCTATTACGGGACCCCTTTAACCCTTTCAAAGCTGGCGGCGCCAGGCGCGGCGCGCTCCCGAACCCGAAATGACTTCCGGTGACGCCCCAATGGGCCAGCCGCGCAACAACGTGAAAATATGTTATAACCATTTGGCGAAAGCTATTTGTCTCTACTGTACGGCACGTGACGAGGTGAAAAGATCGTTCCGGAACGGAAAGCGGGACGGGAGGGCGGCGTGCTCTCATTCGCCACCAAAACCGGATCTCGCACCCTCCCCGTTGCCGTTCGGACAACTAAGGGACCATCCAGAAAGTACGTCCGACATTTGCCGTGGAAGCCCTCATAGCGCCTGATTGGTAGGCAACATCTTGCCTGCAGTGCATGCGTGCACTGTTGGGTGGCCTACCCCGAGATTCGCAGGCGCCAAGCTCCTGGAATTTGTGGAGCGAACCTGAGAAAAAGCGGACGTACTTTCTGGGAGATCCCTAACTGCTGCAAGTCTCAAAGTACGACGCCTTCCCTCTGCCCTCCCTACCGCCCCCTGTTGGCTTTCGCGCGCTGCAGCTTGCGTAACCCACACAGCCCCAGCCCCAGCCCCGGCCCGTCACCGCCCGGCGGCGCGCGAACTGCATGCAGCAGGAGGCCGACAACCGCACTCCACGGAAAACAGATTACAAGTCAAAGGAAGTGGTGCGGCGGGAGGCAGGGCGACCAAGCGAGTAGTAATCGGGATGATCGATGCACCAAAGACGAGTGAAGATGCTGTAATCATTTCAATGGGGGGATTTCGCTCTTCAATTTGGGGGCCTTCCGACAAGCGTCTCCGCGCGCCCGGAGGAAGGAAACGGGTTGCAATGTGCAGAACGGACACGGTGCGGCACGGCGAGACGTTGCGAGGTGGGCTGCAGGTGGGTGCGGGGGG